TATAGTATCCAAAGTACTTCCTTTGCATAAATGGTTTAAAAATCAAGGTTTTGTCGACACATTTAGAATAGTTAATCTGGATCTGATGAAGTACTCGTGGTCTGGTCAAGGGGTTGAGACGAGAATTGATCAGATTTGGGTCTCTGAAGATTTAAAATATGGAGTACTAGCAGCTGATATTGTAGAGGCAGACATGATAACGGCAAGTGATCATGCTATAGTAACAGCGAATATTACAATAAAGCATGTAGTCCAGTTGCGTAGTGCAGCAGCTGAGAGAAAGAAAGAAATATCAAGGAATATCTATCTGTACGATGAAGCAACAAAAGAGAATTGGAAACAGTATCAAGAAGATCTGGTAAAGCTAACTGTAGACAATCGAGCATTCACAAGATGTTGGACTCTGTCTACACCCGACAAACTCAATTTAATTTGGAACATTATAGCAGGTACAATTCGGAGAGCAGCAGATAAAAATATTCCGAAGAAGAAAGTATCTAATAGTTCAAGTAATAGAACAAGAAAATGCAAGCCAACCAAGTTGCACAAAAGCACAGTCAAACTAGGTAAAATAATTCAGATGGTCAAGAGATCTGTAACTGATGGGGATCAGTCGATTGATATTGAGAAGCTTAGTAAAGAGATCGAGCAGATTAATAACATGCACCAAGCAGATATACCTGGGCTAAGTTGTAAAATAGACGAAAAAGAGACATTGTATAAGTGGGTATGCAATGCAAAAGTGTGCTGGAAAGCAATGCGGGTGCAGGAAAAAGTTGAAATAGATAAAGCTACACGTAAGAAGATAGATGCTGCAATAACTTAAAGATATGAAAGAATTGATGGTGAAGTTGGTTTAATGTTAGCAAGTATTTTAGACAAGCTATTCAGAAAGATTAAAATAGATCGAGTGTTAGAAAAAGAAGATGGAAAGTGGACGATGTATAATGAAACAGATGAGGTGCTTTTGAAGACATCAGCACACTTTCAAAAGCAGTTCAAAGAGAGAGAAGTGTGTGAGGACAGAGAAGTGCTTGAAGAATTCTATACACCACTCGAGGATGTAAAAGAGGAGTGGTATGTGGAGCTCGAAAACGAAATCACACTTGATGAATGGTTAGCAGCGATCGAAAAAACCAAAAACAAAACTGCACCTGGAGCTACTGGAATCGGTTATACGTTAATCAAGAATGCCAGTATCAAAGTTCATAAAATATTTCAAAGATTCGCAAGCTTGTGCTTAACAGAAAGTAGAATTCCAGATAAATGGAAGCTCGTGCAAGTATACCCAATTCCAAAAGATGAAAACTGGGGTTTTCAACTTCACAATATTAGGCCAATCGCCCTATTGGAGACATTTAGAAAATGCATCACCCAATTATTAACGAAAAGAATGGCTAAAGTTTTTGTGGAAAATGAGGTATTGCGTGGCCCGAACTATGCAGGATTGCCAGGTTGCTCAACAGAGGAGGCAATCAACCTAGTGGAGATGGTAGTAGAAGATGCTCATGAGAGTAAGAAGGAGTTGTGGTTGATGCTTCAAGATATGAAGAAGGCGTATGACTCGGTGTCATTAAAAACGCTTCATGCTGCATTATGCAGAGTTAAGCTACCATCCAGGATAATTAGTTTTATTATCGAGCTGTTTAAGGGTAGAAGAGTCCAGATAGTCACCGAGTTTGGCCTTACACAAGAGTTTGAGGCAGGTGACGGCATTGAACAAGGGGAGACGATATCTCCGCTAGTGTGGCGGATATTTTATGATCCGTTGTTAAGAAAAATTCAAGATAACAAGAAACTGGGATATGAAGTTAGTTCAAGTCATATAGTAGATTTGCAGATGAACAGCGTAGATATCAAAGCATTAAGACAAGCGGCGGTTGCATTCGCTAATGATACAACCTGGATTGGTAGAAACAAAGCTCAAGTTGTACAAATAATAGAAATAGCACAGAGGTTCTTTAAGTTCAATGACATTCGAATAAACGGTGCAAAGTCCAAACTTATAGTGATTAATTCGAAGTTGAAAAGGAGTGAAAGGTGGATTGAGGTAGATGGGCACAAGTTATAGGCTGAAGAGAAGAAAGCGCTAACACGGCTTTTGGGAGTTTGGATAAGTGCCAATCCACGTGAAACCTTTGTAGTTAAAAAGGCAAAGGGTATTGTAGGTCATTTTGTAAGGACATTAAGGTGTAAAAGCCTATCTATCAGCCAACTTGTTTATGTAAATAATATATGTATTGTGCCAAAATTAGCTTATATGTTACAGGCAACGAAAATAACTGAAGCAAGTATAGATAGAATATACCAGCCAGTAGTAAGACTAATTAAAAGCAAGATAGGTTTGCCAGCAACAGCTGGCAATTATATAGTGATGCATCAAGGGTTAGGCCATTGTAGATCCTTGAGTCAGGAACTATTTAGCAAACAAGTAGTATGTTTGCAAAACAGGCTTAATAGAGCAGACCAAGTAGGGAAGATGACATGTATAAGACTAAACGAGGGGTACATATTGGCAGGGTTAGTAAAAGAGAGTTGGCCGAAATCACAAAATCGCTGTCTC